GTTTGATTTCTTGCTTTCTAAAGTTCCCACAAAATGAAAGCCGGAAGTGCCATGATAATTGTTTTTTTCGCTGTCGAGTAACTTCCTTTCAAAAACCCGATTTTCAAATAAGACCACAAAGATTCCATGGTGGGAAGAATTAGGTCCAGCTCATCTTCAAAAAATCTCCACACTTTCTTTGCAAAAGCACAACAAAAAAAGATATGCTTCAGCTTTTCTTCGTGATCTTGGCAAAATGAACACTTAGACGGGAACATGTAAATTCCAAGCTTGCTGATTGCTTCAGGAAGAGGCAAGATTTGATTATAAAGTCTCCAACAAAATAAAGAAATCCTTATTGGGATGACTTTATTCCAAAGAAATTTGATCGGATGTGAATTATCTTGAGCGTCTCGAAAGGCCTCATATGCTGTTTTGATGGAGAAAACCCCCGACTTCGGTGGCTTCCATATGAAGACATCTTTTGCAGCTGATAACTCATCAAAATCAGAACCTTGAGAAGACAAAAATTCCAGCTGAGGCGCTGTTAAAACACTCGAGATGATCGGCATAATATTCCCTCGATTTTCAACGAAGTCCTTGACTGTAAGGTTTGGAAGAGGCGGTTGATGTTGCTGATTTTCACCCCTTAAAGCTCCTAATTCAGACCAGCTATCGAACCTGAAAAAAACTAAGCCTTGACCAAGTTTGAGTGTGCACGCATCGATGCTTTCGAATCAATCTTCAATATACGTTCCAACTAGTTGTTTTGGTTTTTTGCTGAAAAAGACGAAACGAATGAATTTAGCCCATATTCCAGCTTGTGTCTTGAACTTCCACCATAATTTTCTTGAAAAAGCCTCTAACACTTCATTGAACTTTCTCAATCTGATAGCATTTTCTTCCGCCGGAAAAGTGAGACGCTTCTAAGATCTCCAATGTCTTTTAAAACCATTTTCAGATTCTCCCCATAAAAAATTTTGACAGCGAGCTTCTAGAGCGTGGATAATGTACTTTGGCGGTTCTAGAGCTGCAAAAGTATGAATGGGTGTCAATGTGATAATTATCCCATGTGATAATTAGAGTTAGTTGTGATATTGTATAGTTATTATCTTGTATTTGATATTATGATCAGTTGCTCAATTGAAGCCATTCTATTCTCTAAGTTGGTATCGAGTCAGGTTACAAAAACCTATTTTTTTCTTCTTCTTTTCTTCTTGGCCGCCACCGCCGCCATACTACTCTTCTCCTTCGGCCGGCCTTTCTTCTCCCCTTCTACACCATCTTTTCTTCATCATCCGCAAGACATCAAAAAAAAAAAAAAGCCAAAACAACACCCAAATCCAAGCAACTCCACGCAACATCTTTCTCCATCATCATCCATCATCCATCATCCATCATCCACTAAACTCGCCTAAGCTAAGCAGCAGCCAAGCAACAAAAAAAAAAGAAAAAAAAAACACCGTTGACAAATACACAAAAAAAAAAACCTTTTCTTTTCTCCCTTCTTTTTTTTTTCAGCCAGCGTCACGCTCTTTTCTTTCTCCTGCTTCTTCTTCTTTCCTTTCCCTTTTGATGGCCACCTCACCTCTCTGCCGTCGAACCGTTAATCGGTGCACTTCCTTTCTCCCGCCACCCCATCATCACCTATCACCACCTATCATCACCTCAATTACTGTAGTAACCTAGTCGGCCTTCACCATCATCATCATTCTTTTCATCTTTAAAGGAAAAAAAATCTTCGCCCTTTTCTTCTTGATCATCATCTCCTACCGCATCATCATGGTGATCATCTTTTACAAAAAAAAAATAATTAAAAAAAAACATCTTATTTTTCCTAGTTTCCCCTCGCTGCCGCAAAGCTTCCTTGGCTCTTCCCTTGGCCGCCAGCTCTTCCTTCTCCTTCTTTCCTGCCGCCGTCGCCAACATCCAAAAAAGCCGAACAAACAAAAAAACAGACCTTCTCCAGTTTAAATTTTTTCACATTTAGGCATTTTGACCAATTTTAAATTTGTTCACATTTAGTCCGTCTATTTTGCAAAATTTCCAACTCAGCTCCTCTAGATTTTCTTTTGTGCAAGTAGGTCCTATAATTTCTGCATTTGTCGATTGAGTCCATAATAAAACACATAATCACAACACAACCCCGGCCACAACAAAGCAACATCACCGACTCTTCTCTATAACTTATCTTCTGGTCGTGCTGCATTATTGCGCCGCCATCAGTCATCTTTCGGTCAGTGCTGCATTCTTGCGCCGCCGTTACTCTTCCTCCGGTCGTGTTGCATTCTTGCACTGCCATTAATGTCTCTCGGTCAGTGCTGCATTCTTACGCCGCTGTCAGCCTCCCTCGTGTCATGCCGCTTCTCTTTTTAGCACCGCCATTAGTCTCCTTCTTATGCTGTTATTACTGCTCCTGTTCGCTTGCGGTTGGCGCTACATCGTGGTTCACCCTGATTCTTGGGCAAACTGAGACTTCTTTCTCCTTCATCAGTTTGAGGGGGCGTGTCAATGTGATAATTATCCCATGTGATAATTATCTAGTTAGTTGTGATATTATGTAGTTACTATCTTGTATTTGATATTATCTCATTTAGTGCTATCCTAGTTGTAGGTTCTTCTATTTAAGCCATGTAATAGTCTATTGATCAGTTGCTCAATTGAAACCATTCTATTCTCTAAGTATTGAAATCAAAGAAAGGACATGTTTGATCAAAATGAGCCGCCCTCCGCTAGACAATAATTTATTCTTCCAATTAAAAAGCTTGGCATCCAAAGCATCCAGCAAATATTGAAAATGTTGTCCAAGTTTTCGTCCTTTGAAAATCTTTGATCCAAACAAAGAGGATTAAGTGACCCCTTTTCCATTCCAAGAATTTGATGAACCAATTTATTTAATCATCATTGGCTTTTTCAGAAACCAAGAATTCACTCTTTTGTCGGTTAATTTTTTGCCCGGTTGCCCTTTCATATGTAACAAAAAATTCATCCAGAGCTTCCCAAGATTTTTTTGAGCTTTTGGTGAACAAAATCAAATCATCCACAGAGCATAAATGTGAGATTGGTAGGGTACCAGCTGGAACTCCATAGTTTGCAATCTTTCTAGTTTGATTGAGGTAGTTTAGCCGTCTTGATAAAGCTTCTGAAATGAGAATAAATAAGTACGGTGATAAAAGATCCCCTTGCCTGATACCACGAGAAGCTTGGGAAAAAACCCATTGGAGCGCCATTGATCAAGACTGAGAACCAGCTACCATTGAGATTATTCATAAGAAGCTTGATGAAATCTAAATGGAAACCGAAAGAAAGGATGATAGACTTCAAGAAGCTCCAAGAGACCCGATCAAAAACCTTCATCATGTCTAGTTTCAATATCACATTTCCTCCATAGGTCTTATTATCAAGAAATTGACATAGGTCCTGAGTCAAGAGGATATTTTCCGAGATATCACGTCCTGCTAAAAAGGCCGATTGTTTCGCCGATATTAGCTTTGCCAGAATCGGCTTGAGTCTCTCAGTAAGTATCCTTGTGAAGACTTTATTTATGAAGTTACACAAGCTAATTGGCCTATAATCCGCGAACGTTGATATCAAGCTTTTCTTTGGAATTAAGGTGATGTGCGTGCTACCAATAGCTCTTGGCAAGGGTGTTCCGGACATGAAATCCTTGCAAGCCTCCAATAAATCATCCTCAATGATATTCCAGCAGTGGACATAGAAACAACCTACAAATCCATCACTTCCCAGAGCACTTGATTGATATCCATCACTTCCCGGAGCACTTGATTGATCCAAACTAGTGACCGCAGCTTTTAGTTCTTCCTTTGTGATATTTCGCAGCAAGATAGCGTTGTCATCCTGACTGATTAAATCTGGAATATAGCGCAACAATGTCTCTTGTTGTTCCATTTCTTATTTGCCATTGTTCTTTTCTCATACATCCTTTTGGTGGTGTACTTTCTCATTCCCTCCATAAGATCAATAATAGGTTTTGAGCTTTCTGCGGTAATTTTGCCATTCAAAGACTCACAATTATTGTTAAGCAGGATATCATAGTCACGCTTGAATGGAAACATGCCCTACACCCCTGATAACCAGGCATGTTGCTTAACTGGGTACATGCATTCTCAGAAATTCCCCTCATATCCTCCATTTTTTTTCTTGTATTGCCCCTCAGTTGTTGCCTTTGCAATTGCCCAAAGTGCTTTCCTAAGTGCATTTCCCCCATGCCCACGATCTACAAAATTTGCATGCAACTGTTTCTCACAAAATCGATGGTCGGCTCAAGGAAATTCAATTTCTTCTGCTTTGAACAGGCCTTTTTACTTGTAACTTTAAGATCTACTGATCAGTGTCTTCTTTCTTGATTCGAAGATCACGTCTTAAGAGATCCATAAACCATCCCCAAGATGACTTGTCCTCTACTTCTATTACTCCCCATGCTATTGGATAAATGCCATTGTTGGGTTCAACACCAACAGTAGTAAGTAACACTCCTTTCTAAGAACCCTTCAAGAATGTCCCATCCAATCCAATAAATTTTATGCAACCAGCTAAAAACCCATATCTAATTGCTGCAAAATAAATATACAGTTTTCGAAATCTTTGTTGACCTGTTAATTAAGGGGTGTGTTCAACTATCCAAAGGTTTAAGAACAACAGAACTTCTAGGGTTACTTCGAAGGAGCTCATGACAGTAACCTCTTAGCTTATTAAATTGGTCATCGACACTTCGAAAGACCAACTTGATTGCCTTCTTTCTTGCTTTATATTATTGATCCTTTGTCATGTTGATGTTGTATTGTTCCTTCACACTCTTTTTGAATTCCCGAGGTGTTATATTAGGTTTTTCATCAATGAGCTCTGCTGCCCTCAACGCTATCCAACTACTAGTCATACACGGGTTGTACTTCACCCAAGAGCAAGTATGTTTTGGAGCAAACCTGGTAAACCTAATAGTCTCATTCGGACATTTTCCTACATAAACCTTCCATTTGCATTTTGGATCAAGACACTTAGCACTAACCCTTTGTTTCTAAATGTTTCTTAAACCTCCACTGAAAACTCCTTATAATATTCCATATCCTGATACCATGTCTTGACTCTTCCAAGCTACTGAAAGCAAGCCCACACCTCAATGGTGGGTCCCACATGTCTTTCACTGGATCAAATTGTTCTAGAGCAGGCTCAGCTTCGTCGTAAGACTTATGCAGTGGTTCAAAATCATCATCACAGTATAGTACCGTAGTATTCACATCTCTTAGCCTACCACCAACAACTTCATCTTCACTTTCATCTATATCCCCAGCCCCTATATGTGTGAACTCTCCCATGGACTTTCCAATTTCAAGACATTTACTCGAACCCTGTTACTGATTTCTGCTACTACTTGCAACAAGTATTTTCTTGCTTGTACAATCTACCACACTTGCAAGACTTCCAGTATAACCATCTTCACCACCCCATATATCTTCACTGTCATCTACATTCTCTTCATAATCTTCGTTATCATATTTTGAATCATATTCAGAATCCTTATCACTCCAGTCTTCATTTTATTCATCACTTGCATCATCATCAACATCATTATCTAACTCTTCAGTCTCACTTACATCAACATCATTCTTCAAGACCTCACCATTTAACCCCTCAATGTGACTTACAATAACCATCATTGCTAAAGTCCTTACCTTTATTGCCCTCAGTACCATGTTCCTATTCAACATCATTCTTCAAAACGTCACCATTTAACCCCTCAATGTGACTTACAATAACCATCATTGCTAAAGGCCTTACCTTCATTGCCCTCAGTACCATGTTCCTCTTCAATCTAAACTTCTAGAGTATAAAACTCCATCCATCTATTTTCTGCCATTGCCTCTCCATGCACTGGTGTGAGTTCCTAATCATCCGATGTACCCTTCATCTCATTTTCTTCACATATATAATAGAATTTTACTTTTTGCCCTAACCTTGTCATGTTTGCCATCATAACCAAATCTTCAAACTCTAGGTTTTCCAAATCAACATGATCAAAAAAACTTATGTTCTCTTCCACAATAAACATGGGATAATGTATGGATCATTTCACCACCATAATTAATCTGTATGCTTCCCATGGCCTTGTCAGAATCTGTAGTATGGCAAGGGACAATAATGAGGCTTTTAAACCCTAAAAAAAAATTGGATTGGAACGTGTAATTGTGCACAATACAAACACCGTAATCAAGGGACATGAAATGAACTACAAAACATAGGCATACTACCGGAATTTGGGACCACGATAATCAAAATCGAGGTTAAGCCCTATCAAAATTGATTAACAAATAATTACAACAATTATTTTACAAATTCATCCATCAGTAATGGAACCCACATGTATCATGATGAAGGGACATTCTTTCCCGAATCCCCTTTTTCCAGCAGGAAAGAAACAAAAAAAAAAAAGTAAAACTACTTTATGCAAGTCGACTCTTAGAAGTCATCATTTCTTTGAAAGATACTCACCATAGTCAGGTGGAAGCTGATCATTCTTCTCTTTTGGTCGTGAATCCAACATCTCGGCTACTGAAATTCATCTCCTCATGCCGAAAACTTAATTCTATCTAGTATTTTCTTTGTTTTTTGCTCCGAAAGTGAAGGACTTCACTTTTCGTGTTTTTCAGAAATGGAAGCATTTTTTTTCCAGAATGGAAGGACTTGCTTTTGTTCCAGAATTAGGGACTGAATTTTTCATTTTCTATTTTTTTTTGGGTTCTGTGAGCCACACAATTTTTTTAGGGAGAAATGTCCCTCCAATTGGACCCAACTAAATTAGTGTTAAGTCCAAAGTGATTTAGGGCTAAATCTAACAGAAAGGACCCAACAATGGAAATTGGGCAAATTAGACAAAACTGACAAAAGTTCGATAGATAAGGATAATATAGGCTAACCAAAATAGAATAGGATAACATTTACAACGCATGTAAAGTTTTGGGTAGATTAGCCAATTTTTCCAAGGCGGGAGTATAGGATACTTGTAGAATACTAGTGGTAGTACTCATTGGAACTAGGGCTTTTCGTGGTAGTAGTCTAATTTTGTCTAACATTAAAGAAAGAAAATATATAAGAGTGTCAGATAGCCGCCCTAATTATTTTATCCCAATGCATATGACCTAATTAAGGAAATCTGCTCCAAATATTTTTTTCCAAGCGCATATGACCTAATGAAGGAAATTTGTTGATAGGACCAGATGCAGTGGGTAAACATTCTAGAGATTTCCTCTCTTATTGTTCAATATAATTAGATGTTACCCGTACGTTGTATGGGATAGAAGTACCACGCTTCAAATAAATATCACTTTATAAACAAAAATCTATGAAAACCGCAGCCCTGACTTCCTCCATTGTAACCGGCCTTACAAGCATGCGCTTATCCTCCAAGCTCAAATCATCATTCAAATTTTCCAAGAATACTTGTTGCTTTTGATGCTGCCGTAAATGAGGAGATTCTTCAGTAAGAAGATTATGAAAAAAATCCACCGCCTCCTTCTCAATCTCTTCCAATTTTGTTAAAACACGGCCCTCCTCAGTTTGAATTTTTTGGATCCCCATCTTCAACTTTCTTTCAGCAAGAGATGCGTGAAAATAAGTTGTATTATTATCCCCCTCCTTGAGCCATTTTAAGCGTAATTTCTGCTTCCAAAAGTCATCATGTTCCTTGAGTTTTTGAAGCAAATGAGCCCTAGCCAAGCTTGGATTTTGCCTATCATTCATGTGTCCAGAACAATCATAGGCAATTTCCAGTTCCTTTACTTTATCCTCCGCCAATTTTAGATTTTGAAAAACATCACCAAAATGCAATTTGTTCCATTCCTTTAAAGCTAGCTTCAATCTACAAAGCTTCAAGGAAAAAGCCAGCATTCCAGAACCCCAAACCGGCTGTGACCAATTATATTGAACAAGATCTTTAAAATCTCCTCTTCGAAGCCACATTTTCTGGAATCTAAAACTTCTTGGCTTAGACTCAAGTTGAGCATCAAATTGAAGCAGCAAAGGGGAGTGATCAGATGTAGTACGGCTCAAAAGCTCAATGGAAACCTTAAGAAAAACATCCATCCACTCCGGAGAGAAAAGAATACGGTCTAACTTCTTGCTAACCCAACCGGTAGCACGCGTACCACCCCAAGTAAAATCATCGCCCACCGATGGTATTTCCATCAAATTATTCTCTTCAATGCATTGATTAAACTCGTCAATGGCTCCATAGTCTTGAACTGAATTCCCAGAGTATTCATCAAGAGATCGTATAACATTAAAGTCCCCTCAAACAACCCAAGGCTGAGATACATGTGTACTTCTAAAAGTTTCCACAGCCGCCCATAGAGATCGCCTTTCCACCTTATTAGATTTAGCATACACTGCAGTAAGGAGAAAGTTCCTTTGAAGAGGTACATACCCAACCTCAAAGGCATCATTTGCTCACCAGATTCCAACCGACTGACAGTAAATAGTTTACTATGGAAGACCCAAATTTTGCTAGTACTTGAAGAGAAAGCACAATCAAAATTAAGTTCCCACCTTATTTCTTCTAATTTATCAGAAGCTAACATGGGTTCAAGAATCACCACAAAAGAAATTCTATAGATTCGGATGAGAGCTCGCAAGCATTGTTGAGAGGCTTGCTTTCGTATTCCTCTAATGTTCCAAAAAATAATACTCATCATTGATAAAATTTGGAGATTAATGAAGGCGAAGAGATCGCCGAAGCTCTTTACCAGCTATAAGCTTAGCGCGCTCATCTTTCGTTTTGTGGCCGCGCCTCTTCTTCGTTGTTAATTCCCCTTGCGCATTCCCAGCCAAGACAGGCGTGTCCTTATCCCCTTCTGACCAACTTTCTTCATATGCATCATCATCATCATCTAAAACAAGTAGATCCGCAGCTAAAGAGTCATCTGGATAAAAGAGTTTCGGGTCCTGACCATCATTAGCTGCATTTTTTGTATCTGCATTTTCCATAAGGACCAACTAGTTTGTAGGGATAACTTCCGTGAATATGTTTTCAACATCATCAGAATCTTCATAAGCATTTTCCTGGACATTATCAGCAATCACATCGGTGTTATCATCACAACTTTGCAGGATCGCAAATTTATTTGCTTGCATAATCGGTGTTGTCTTATTCATCTCGAAGCAATCATTCAAAACATCATTCGGCAGGACTAGGAGTTGAGTTGTTTGCGCTAGAGAACCAACTTCCCCTTGCGTGTCGGTATCCAGACGCAAAGCATCAGCAACTCTAGCCTCCGGAGATGCAAGTTGGGTAGATTCGCGTAGAGAAACAAAATCTCCTTGCGCATTGGATCTCAGTCGTGAGTTGCCAACAACTTGAGCTTCAGTAACAACAAGAACGTTATCATCCACCATTTTACTACCAGAATCATGGGGGGGGGGGGGCTGTCCACAATATCAACAGGAACAGAACCTTTTTCTTTGCCTGTTAAACCAGAAGTTGAACCTCTAGCGCGCGCCTCTTCCAGAGGCTGCGAGGTTAGGGTTTTCGCAACCTGTGTTTCGACGACTTTAGGAACCAAACCTTTTACGATGAAAGGGTCTTCACTGATAATCTCCACCTCCAAATCCGTCTTCCTTTCCCCTTTTTTCAAACCCCAGTTGACTTTTTTCTGCTGCAATTGAAATCCATTTTTTGAGGCAGCCGTTTTTGGTTCTTGGGCAACAGTTTCAGTCTTCTTTATAGTTGTGCCTTTTACTTTTCGGCAATCCACATCTTTGTGTCCAATCTTACAGCAAACAGAGCAGTACAAAGGAACACATTCATACGTATAATATTTCTCATATTTCTTTCCTTTCTTTCCAATCCGAATCGACTTTGGTAACTCCTTAGTCAGATCAATCTCAGCGATTTAGGGCTAAATCTAACAAAAAGGACCCAACAATGGAAATTGGGAAAATTAGACAAAACTGACAAAAGTTTGATAGATAAGGATAATATAGGCTAACCAAAATAGAATAGGATAACATTTACAACGCCTGTAAAGTTTTGGGTAGATTAGCCAATTTTTCCAAGGCGGGAGTATAGGATACTTGTAGAATACTAGTAGCAGTAGTCATTGGAACTGGGGATTTTTGTGGTAGTAGTCTAACTTTGTCTAACATTGAAGAAAGAAAATATATAAGAGTGCCAGATAGCCGCCCTAATTATTTTTTCCCAACGCATATGACCTAATTAAGGAAATCTGCTCCAAATATTTCTTTCCAAGCGCATATGACCTAATGAAGGAAATTTGTTGATAGGACCAGATGCAGTGGGTAAACATTCTAGAGATTTCCTCTCTTATTGTTCAATATAACTAGATGTTACCCATACGTTGTACGGGATAGAAGTACCACGCTTCAAATAAATATCACTTTATAAACAAAAATCTTTTAGCGAAATACTAAGATTTTCAAGTCCGACATCTATACGCAACCCTATTCACAAGTCTACAACTTTTAGCGAAATATTAATGACAGATAAACATTGATTACAACATTGAAAATCATAATATGATTTAAAATTAAAAAAGACTTCCAACCAGAATAGAAGATTTGAGTAAGATAAGATAAGATCGACAAGATTTGCTCTAGAGTATCTGAAAACAAAATCTTCTACTGGATATGATTACTTAAGTAGTATATCTTTTTTTCCTTAGAGTTTTTTAATGAAGATAAAACCTTTTTTCATTTTTAATAAATCAAAAAATGGAAAAAATTACTAGTCCTACGTGGTAAGTGGAAAACTATCCCAGTTTTCCTCTCTCTGGGTTTTCTTTTATTAAGTTATATAGATTATGTTGTTAGTATCTTTTAGTTTTGTTAGATCTCTCTTCAAATTTCATATTTTCCAACCGAAAAAAAAAATATTGTTTATTTCCAACTCTGAGTTTTTCTCTTCAAACTCTTTCTCTTGTGTATCTTCGTAATATTTTTAAAATTTTTTTCCCTTAATGATGTGGACATCCTAGGTGATCAAGCTCAAGGACAAGTCAACATTCAACCGAGTAATCAAGTTCGAGCTCAAAGACTGATTCAATATCCATTAGCTAATATTGGAGGTCCTATGACGAGGTCTTGAATAAAGAAAATGAATGAGTCACTCAACAACTTGTTCATGGATGTTCAAGCTCTCAATGTAGATTCAATCTCATGGGTTTCATGTTTATCTTGGAGTGGAGTTGAAGCTTTTAGTGCACGTCAAGCTCTTAGTTGAGGAGAGAAAGTCGACGTCAAAGCTGACAGCAAGGCGTCGAGCAAGGTATTGATCGACAGCAAAGTCGACAGGGCTACATTGACTAGAGTGTTGGTTGACAGGGAGGTCGACGCGCGGCGGGCATATTTTTCTACTCTCCTATTTTGATTAGGAAAAGGATTTTTCGGTCATTTATCCTTATGGCCGACTTTCCTACACCTCTAGAAGATTCTAGATGGTTTTAAATAATTGTGACATGTGTAATTATTTATTTAATTATAATTTAAATCTATATTAGGAAACTTAGGTAGACAAATCTAATTTGATCTTGTATCGGGTTCTTTTTGTTGTCCAAGCCAACCTTTGCCTATATAAAAAGGGCCTTGGTCGACAAAAAAACATATACTTTGATGATTATTGATATTTTAATACGAGACGAGAGGAAACTCTTTGTTGTTTTTCTAATTCTTTTCGAAAATTAGTGCATTGCACACTTTTTTGTGTTTTGTTGACGCGTGCGCATGATTTTAAGTGTTCTTCACGTGTGGAGCTTTGTTAGTTTGTTCATTAAAGCCTTTTCGCTATCTGTTCTATTCATAAATCGAAGGGATAGGGTTGTTAGAGAGGAACCGATTGGGTTGCTAACCAAAACACAATTCTTCATCTTTCGAATCTTCCATTATTTTTGGTACAAATTTTGTGGTTTTGCATCGTTTCTTCTTCTTTTCTTCTTCTTTCTCATGTGGTCTGGAGTATTTTCCATTGGTGTCGCAAGTTATCAAGTCTTGGAAAATTCATAGCTTCCGCGTTTAAGGTAATTCAATCATCTCACCTCAAGATTCGTATCAATTTGGTATCAGAGCTTCTGCTCTTGGTACTTGGATGTTTTGAAGGCTCTAAGAATTAATTTCATATCAATTTGGCCTCAGAGCTTCGGTTCTTGATTTCTTGCATGTGTTTTGATTTTCTAAAGCTCATCTTTGGTTGATCTCTGATTGTTCTTATATATTTTTTTGAGTCTTTTGTTATAGATCTCACTATTTGCTTCGAATTTGTTCTTCATTGAATTGAATTTGATAGAAGTTTGGTAGTTAGATTTTTTTGTTTCGGTTGTTGGCGGCTGTGTATATGTTTCCTGCCTAGGGATTTCGGTTTTAGGGTTTCCTAACCCTTGGACCACGTTTTTTATTATTTAAAAAGGAAAAAAAGAAAAGAAAAGAAAAGAAAGTAGCCAAAAAAAAAAGAAGAAGAAATAGACAACATATTAAAAGGAAAGTATCTTCTTTTTAAAGGTATATTAAATCGTACCTTATTTAAGGAGATTTGAGAGTGTGCATTTAAAAGGAAAGTATCTTCTTTATAGAGGTATATTAAAGGTTACCTTATTTGAATTATTTGCACATTATTTTCAACAATAATTGGAGTTTGGTGGCTAGGTTTTTTCGAATTATAAGCCCTAAAGTTGTGTGATGGCCGAGAACTAGGATTCATCCATAACCCTAAATCGAAGCTTGATTTTTCAGAATTTGCTCCAAGTTCTACTAGGCTCTTTTTTGTGAGATCTAACTTTCATAATTGTAACTACTCGATCTATATTCGTGTTCTTCCTTGGATCTTGTTACATTATTCAGAACCATACTTTTTGGCCCTCTTAGTCAATTGCACAAAACTTGCACTAATCTTCATTGCACTAAGGATTGTAAGACAAAGGCCGTAGTAAAAAAAGAGTGAACACATTCCTTACTAAATCTAAACCTTCTTGAGTGATCTTGGGGAGTGAATAGTATAGTTGGGAGGGGTAACAAGGTAGTGAGTTCTTCGATATTCTATTTTCTTGTGTGTGGTTTGTGTTCTTAAAATTGCAGAATCATGGCGGACAATACTCAATGTGGAATGTTGAATGTTGAATGATACGGTGAAATACTTTAAAGATAAGATGGCAGAAATAACCAATCAACTGCAACTTATGGCGACGGCGATGGCGCAACTAGAAGAACAACAAGCTGAAACCACTCGCCAAATGCAACAACTTGCCCAAGTTAGGGTTCCACTGGTAACTAATTTTGCACGTAGGAATATCAATGAAGAAATTCCAAGGGAATAACATGATGATGATGATGGTGGCGTTGAGAATGAAGGGGAGTTTAGGCAAGAGCGTCAAAGACAACCTAGATTTGATGATAACTTGAACACTATCAAGCAAAAGATTCCGGAGTTTCTTGGCAAGCCTGATCCAAATGTTTATATTGATTGGGAAGATCATATAAATCGGATTTTTAATCTCAACAATTATTCTGAGGGAAACAAGTTGAATTTACTTGTGTCTGAATTTCATGGATATGCTTCTATATGGTGGAATGAGATACAACACCAGAGAAGGAGAGATAATGACCCTCAAATCGCTACATGGAGTGAGCTTTCACATGTAAGGCGAAAAGCTTTTGTTCCAGCTTTCTTTCAAAGAAAGCTTCGAGGGGAGTTGCAAGATTTGAAGCAAGGTAGTAAGTCGGTTATGGAATACTACCAAGAGATGAATACCTTGAGGTTGAAATATCAATTGGAAGAAGATGAGGAGCAAACTATGACAAGGTTTCTACATGGTTTAAACCTTCCAATCCGACATAGAGTGGAGCTACAACCTTATCTTGATTTTGAGGATTTGTTGGATAAAGCCGATACTTTTAAAAGACAAATGAGGGAATCTTCAGCCACAAGTAAGGCAAGGGCTTCTTCTACTAATTCGACATCTTTTAAGTCGAATCAATGGGGAAATGCTTCTAAGAAGCCGACGGTTCTGAACGCGAATCCATCCAAGCAACCGGCTAAGCCAACTGAGGCTAGCAAGACGTTAGAAAAGAGGCCTATAGCCAAGCCCGGTTCATCTGCTAATGTCCAATGCTTCAAGTGCAAAGGAAGAGGACATTATGCATATGAGTGCCCTAACAAGAAGGTTATGGTGTTTCGAGATGAGTGGTATTATGAGAGTGACGAAGAAGAGGATGTAGATGATCCTTCTAATATGGTTTTAGCAACAAAGTCAATGGATGAAGCTACAAGTTGTCAGACATATGATAATGGAGTCTCCGAGAGTGATGATGAAGTTGTCTATGAAGAAGATGTGTCTCGAACTATGGTGTTAGTTCATGCTCTTAGTATCCAACCCGCTCAAGATAAGAAT